CACACACACACACACGCACACAGACAGCCTCTTCCCAATATGCGTTTTTGCAATTTACATAAATGCAAAAACGCATAATAACCATTCATACAGTTAACGGTCTGAATACTATAAGTTTGTTACGAAAACGCATGATTGAACCGGCACGCCTGGTGCATTCCCGCCTGAGTTTGTTTTTCTTTTGCATTAACGCATAAAACGCTTTACAAAGGAAATGTCAAGATCAATTTAAATAGTTAGAGTGCACCAATCCATTCTGACAGTGCATTTATTATTATTTTCCCATTTGCCCATACTTACTAATCCATTTTGATCCTTTAGCACTGATTTTTTTCTAAGTTTGCAGGAAAAATTAGCGCAAGCAAGCTATGTATTAACCAACGCTGATCCATTTTTTGACTTTCCGAAGCCAACGATACACAAAGTGAAGGAACTTGGAGGTGTTGCTGTCCCAAAAGCTGAACCGTTGAATGAGGTGCACTAATCGATTCCTTGCACATTTTACTGTTTCCCAGAAATCAGTACATTATTTAGACATTAAAAGAGATCAGAGATCAACAACTCGCTTTCCAGAATGGCTCTCAATTTTTGTTTTTTATCCTACATTGAAGCAACACAGTGAACTCGAAGTGAAAAAAGACAGTTTACTTTCATTCGCACTGACAATTGGATGCACTCGTGCGTGACCTGGTGGTAGTACTTTACTAAAGTACAAACACGAGTTATTCGCACGCTACATCGCTGATGGCTTATTCGCTTGAAGGTTACATAGAAGCAATCAGGTAGTAGTCACCGATTTATTGGACTGCGCAGTGCTGTCGGAATGATTTGGTGAATTATGCCACGACTGCTTACCTCACTGCTGTCTTCAAGCAAATGTCCTTCAAATTGAACAGCAAGCTCCCTTTGGAAAAATCTGTAATTGTTAGATTAAATGCGCTATGGCACATGATTTTTCTCAATAGAAAGTTGCAATGGTGAGGAAATTTTCATTTAATTTTGCAAAAACACCTATTTCAACTTATCTTTTTGGCTTAAAATTTGACATTTTCTTTCCTCCTGGTATTAATAAAAGCAATCTTTGAGCAATTTTCGTTCCGCATCCGAAACCATGTTTTCTAGCACTGGTCAGCGATAATGAATCAGCACAAAAAAGTGGTACTTGTATCGTTCGGTTCCGTGGTAGCCAGCTATGTGATGCCAAATGAAACAAAGCAAGCCTTCTTAAACGCGTTTGATCGGTTCCCAGATGTGACGTTCATTTGGAAGTACGAAAAGGAGGAGCACCACATCGCCAACGGGCACCCAAATGTAATCACCGATAAATGGCTACCGCAAACAGATCTACTTGGTAAGATTATTTTCATCCTAAAAGTGGCAGTTACTGTAGCTACCGCAAATAACTGCTACATTTAATAAATATATGATTACTTGTCTTAGTCTGATAATCAGTACGTCCGGTACAATGACACTCAGTGCACGTCAAGGACATCACTGGAGCGGCTAAAACATTGCTTCCGCTTGCAAAAAACTGGCGAACGGCAGCAGCGGAAGCAAATTGACCAGTAGGCGAAGCAGCATTGGTTAAAGCAACAGAAAATACTGCCAGTTTGACAACCGGAGAACCCGAGCATAAACTTACAGGTGATCTAAATATTCCAATAAAATTTTTTGAAGGCAGACGTACAAAAAATTTTGGAGTTTTCTAGCACATCCAAATTTGGTGGCATTTCTGACGCACGGTGGTATGAATAGCATCACAGAAACG